CATTCTTCTAGTAAGTAATATTCCCCCCCCCCCCAATAGTGCAGAGCTGTTTAGTAGGCATGAAGGAGGAGGGAGTGGGCTGGTATTATCTGGAGTGTGTACGCTCACATGTGTGACTCTATAGTCATGTGAGCTACATAGATAAAAAGAAAGGGGAAACGAAAAGCTTAGAAGAGAACTGAAACTGGAGCATGCTCAGTAGATGTGGCAACTGCTGGTCTACACATTCTTAGGCTGCAGTGGGGACACAGACAAGGAGGGAAGGACAGTGAACAGGAGGGCCATAGTCTGGATCACATAGTACACTCTGCTCTGTTCAGCAGGGTATCAGTGAGCAGATCCCTTGCTAAATTGGAGCAGAATGGGACAGATTTCTTCTGGTCTGTCACATTTAGGTTCATAAAAATGGAAAAGAATGCAGTCCTTTTATATATTTCTCTGAACCTGGATAGCCTCACAGATAGGTGGATGTAAACAGACAGGAACCCATTTACATCCTCCTGTCCATAGACCGGCATGGAGCTTCTGATCAGCTCTGCCTGAAAAACTGACAGGTGGACCTCATCATAAAGCCCATGTGGGTCTAGGTTCACACCTATGCAGGTTACTTTTGAGCCTATTCTGCATTGCGTTTTGCGTGGCGTTTTTGATGCATTTTGCTTTTTCTTTCTTGTTGCTAGGTAGATGCAAAAGGCATAAAAATGTTGTACAAACGCAGCAAAAAAAGATGCTTTTCTGCAGCATTTCCATTGAGGTCTATAGAAACAAAAACGCAACCTTTTGTGCTCCAAAAATGACTCTTTCCAAAAAACACACCAGGTGAAGACGCGGAGATGTGAACCTGTCCCATAGGAAATCATGTTAAATGGACTGTATTGCGTTTCTGCAAAACGCTGCAGGAAACGCTTAAGTGTGAACCTAGGGTCCATGGGGCCTGCGGCTGCATTTGCTGGGGTGCTTAATCACGCTGTGAATCCCAGTGACAACAATCTGCTGATTCCTGCTGCTGGGATTGACAGTTGTGGCAGATAGCTGCCAGTGATTACCTGTGCTGATTGTAGCTGGATGCATGGAAAGCGCAGGTGATTGATGGCTGTGTAAACAGTCAGAAATACAGTAGCTGCGTCCGCCGATAACCTGTCATTGCTTTGTACAGCCTTGGTGGCCACAACTATCCACCACACAGGTGCCAATACCAGCTGTAGGAAACAGTAGATTCTTGCCACTGGGATTCGCAGCGTGGCTGAGGCCCCTTTCACACGGATGTTCCGATTGGGTCAACCTGCCTGTTTTTCAGGCGGACCCGATTGGAACCCTTTATTCTCCTCTATGGAGCGGTGGGCGTAAATGGATATGTGTCTGTTTACACCCACCAACATTCGGTCTGATCCAATCCACCAAAAAGAGTTGAATGGGGATCCATTCCCCTTCCATCCATCAATTCGGACGGGATGGCAGTCGGATGGAAATGGACAGGCGGTCCATTTCCATTCGACTGGCCATAGAGGACAGCGGGCTGTGTCTGTGTCCGCTCTGCAGCAGCGGAGCGGACACGGACCTGTCATCCGCTTGCTCAGCAGGGTTCAGCGGAGAGATCCCCCATTGAGCAAGCCGATCTGCAGTGTGTGAAAGGGGCCTAAAAGCCCATGCAAATGCAACCTCAATAATAGCCAACCTTATTGCTTGTGCACACTTGACCACATTTCTAACTCCTCCAAGACGCCCCTATAGTGTTAGACAGGTATTTAATGAGTTTTAGTATGATGATTCTACAAGCGTTACAAAATGCTCCCCAAATGCCCTATGCGCGGTTTTGAGGCATTTTATAGGCATTTTACAAGCATTAAAACCACACTACAAGCTCCTATAATAAACTTTAATGGTATTAATGCCCCACAAACGCCTCGCAAACACCCCACAAACTCCTGCCAGGCGTTTGAGGAGCGTCACCATAGACTTGAATGGGAGACATTGAAAGGCTTGATCTCCTTGACTCGACATGAGGCTTCAATTTTGACGCGACGCTAACGCTTCATATTTTGCTAATATGAACAGCACTGTGTGCTGCCCATAGTATCATTTACATAAGCGTTTGAGGAGCGTTAAAAATGCCCCCCTCAAATGCCTGCTTTCAAAGCTAGTGTGAACTGAGCCTTAGTCCGGGTTCACATAGATGTGGTGCGGAATTCTCAGTGTTTTCTGTGTGAATTCCGCACCACATCAGAATCGCACCCCGTTCATGCGAACCACTGCGGGTGTGTATGTTAAGTTACAACACCCCGGAAGTGGTCCGCAAAACGTAGTGCGATATGCAGAATCGAATCACATAGGTGTGAATACCCATGTGATCCGATTATAATGCGGACCCAAAAAAGGGTCCTGCACCCACCTTTTTGGTGCGGTGCAATTAGAGGCATATAAAATGTATGGCTCCAATCGCACCGCACACAAATCCCCCTGCCCTTACATAATGATCCGCCAAACCCCTCTTACCTCAGGGTCCATTCCTTCTCATTCCTACAAGCAGCTACATGAGCTGGAAGACAGAAGTTCCGTGCTTGCCCTCCTCCTCTTCGGAATGTCGGGGCCTGGGGGCGGGGCAAGCACATGGTGGGTTGTTAGGACTGCCAATGTCCTAGCAACCAAACAAGTGCCTGCCCCCACTAGTACTGACAAAACTGTGCATCAGTACGGCGGAGAATGTGTTCAACCAGCTTGTTTTTTTGGAAGGCTCTGCTGCACATCCTGCACTGTTGGTAAGGCTGAGCGGCACGGCTCCAAGCAGGGTGCTGTGGGGAAGGGGTCCAGACACCCATAACCCCCCCTTATCTACTGTTCAAAAAAATTGCGTTTGAGTTGGCACCTACCCAAATGACTAATGAAAAATACAAAGCAAATAAATAAATGCAGCTGCCCCTTAAAGTGAAAAGTCACTAATAAAAAAATAATAATGTGTAAAGGTATGGCACGTGCACACTCTAATATACAACATAAACAGCTAACCAAAGTGAATAAACTAACAAAAAAAAGTCCAGTATTGTGCAAATCCCAGCACCACACTGTGATTCAATAATCCTTTGTGTGAAATTCTTCTGTCAAATAAATCTCCCAACTTCTTCACCACTTATGCTCACCAGACAAATGCACACTCACCAGAGGTTTATGACCCTTTTTACAGGTAGGTCAAAAAGCAATTGACTCTCAAGGGTTCTTTCACTTTAAGATGTTTCCCAGATCCTCCTTCATTACGGTGGTTGCTCACTCATTCAGTTTCCGAGCAGGAGATAGCATATAAAGGATCATAGTGTAGTATTTTTTGTAAGTAAAAAAAAACAATATTAGAATAAGGGATTGAACTCACATTACATAGTTAGTCTGGTTGAAAAAAGACAAAAGTCCATCCAGTTCAACCATAAAAAAAAAGTTATAATCGTATACCCACAGTTGATCCAGAGGAAGGCAAAAAAACCCCAGCAAAGCATGATCCAATTTGCTCCTGGAGGGAAAAAATATCTTCCTGATCCCCCGAGAGGAAATCGGATATTCCCTGGATCAACTTTCCCTATAAATGTTAGTATCCAGTTATATTCTGTGTATCTAGGAAAGAATCCAGGACTTTTTTAAAGCAATCCACTGAGCTGGCCAGAACCAACTCTTGAGGGAGTCTATTCCACATTTTCACAGCTCTTACTGTGAAGAAACCTTTCCGTGTTTGGAGATTATATCTCTTTTCCTCCAGATGTAAAGAGTGCCCCCTTGTCCTCTGTGATGACCGCAGGGTCAATAACTCTACACCGAGTTCACTATATGAACCACTGATGTATTTATACATGGAGATCATATCCCCCCTTATGTATTATACATGAAGATCATATCCCCCCTTATGTATTATACATGGAGATCATATCCCCCTTATGTATTATACATGGAGATCATATCCCCCCCTTATGTATTATACATGGAGATCATATCCCCCCTTATGTATTATACATGAAGATCATATCCCCCCTTATGTATTATACATGGAGATCATATCCCCCTTATGTATTATACATGGAGATCATATCCCCCCTTATGTATTATACATGGAGATCATATCCCCCCTTATGTATTTATACATGGAGATCATATCCCCCCTTATGTATTTATACATCGAGATCATATCCCCCCTTATGTATTATACATGGAGATCATATCCCCCCTCATGTATTATACATGGTGATCATATCCCCCCCCCCCTTATGTATTATACATGGAGATCATATCCCCCCTTATGTATTATACATGGAGATCATATCCCCCCTTAATCTCCTCTTCTCAAGAGAGAATACATTCAGTTCCTCTAATCTTTCCTCATAGCTGATCTCCTCCATGCCTCTTATCAGTTTGGTTGCTCTTCTCTGTACTTTCTCCAGTTCCCCAATGTTCTTTTTGTGAATTGGTGCCCAAAACTGAACTGCATATTCCAGATGAGGTCTTACTAATGATTTGTACCGGGGAAATGATATCTCTCTCTGGAGTCTATACCTCTATTAATACAAGAGAGGATTTTGCTCGCTTTAGAACCCGCAGCTTGGCATTGCATGCTATTATTAAGCTTGTGATCTACCAGAACTCCCAGATCCTTCTCCACCATTGATTCCCCCAGTTGTACCCCCCTAGTATGTATGATGCATGCATATTCTTAGCCCCCCAAGTGCAGAACCTTACATTTATCAACATTAAACCTCATTTGCCGCATAGTTGTCCAATTACACAGAGCATTGAGGTCGGCTTGTAAATTGGAGACATCCTGTAAGGACGTTATTCCACGGCACAGCTTGGTGTCATCTGCAAAGACTGAAATGGGATTTATAATCTCAGACCCGATATTGTTTATAAATATATTAAAAGTAAGGATCCAAACACTGAACCTTGGGGTACACCACTGACACCCCTAGACCATTCAGAGTATGAATCATTAACCACTACTCTCTGAATACCATCTTTTAGCCAGTTTCCTATCCATTTAGATACAGATTTTTCCAAGCCTGTAAACTTTACCTTACACATTAGCCATTATTACACAAACGCTTTTGAAAAATCCAAGTATATCACGTCCACCGTCACCCCTCTGTCCAAGTATACCACGTCCACTGCCACCCCTCTGTCCAAGTATACCACGTCCACTGCCACCCCTCTGTCCAAGTATACCACGTCCACCGCCACTCCTCTGTCCAAGTATACCACGTCCACCGCCACCCTCTGTCCAAGTATACCATGTCCACCGCCACCCCTCTGTCCAAGTATACCACGTCCACCGCCACCCCCTGTCCAAGTATACCACGTCCACCACCACCCCTTTGCCCAAGTATACCACATCCACCGCCACCCCTCTGCCCAAGTATACCACATCCACAGCCACCCCTCTGTCCAAGGTTTTGCTCACCCCCTCCTAAAAAAAGAAATCAGATTTGTTTGACAATTTTCTGTCTTTTATGAATCCATGCTGTCTGTTGCTTAAAATATTTTTTTCCAGCAAGAACTCATCTATGTGGTGTTTTATTAAACTCTCCAGTATCTTCCCAACTATAGAAGTTAAACTAACAGGTCTGTAATTACTTGGTAAAGATTCTGACCTCTTTTTAAATATTGGCACCACATTGGCCTATGCTCACATGTTACATTGTCTGTATGAACAGCATCAGTATATACAGCTTGTGTTATCAATATCGACCAACGCACCGATCACACAGGTCGGCATGCGTTCCAAGCTTCGGGATCTTAGGCCTGAAGTGATGTCATATGGGACCCAGAAGCAGCGGTCCTTGTGCTTCAATATTCAATAGTGTCCACAGGTAGAAGGAAAGATAATCACTTGGTTCCCCCATCATTACAGTAAGTGCCCGGTCATACCAGTACAATTTTGTAAATTGAAGTCGCACCTGAAATCGCATCTAATGAATGTGAATGTCAGTGTCTTAACATGTGTGATTTGTAAACTAGTTCATGCATTACTTTTTCTGCAGTTTTGTTGCATAGAATATAATGGAAATGGCACTGAAAATTGCAAGGAATTGTTAAAAATCTTCACAAGTAGCAATAAAGTCTTCAGAAATTGCAACTGGAATCATGCTGAAACTGCACACAAATTGCGTGATTTTAAATCGCAGCAGTGTGACCGGTGACTTAGTATTGATGGGGAATCCCTCCCGCTGCACTGTTGTATCCTGACAATGGGAGGTTTCCCCACCTTCACACATACAATGATCACTGCTGGCAGCTATAGTTGCTGACAGTGATCGCACTGAAAAAAACCCAACGGGCTGGTCATACTAAAGTCCTGTAGCGCTACCCCCTTTATAATCTAGTTATTTTTGGGCTCCCTGTCATTCTGGACCCTTTTCTGAAAGGCCAACTCCTGCTGACACCACAGGAGTTTTTTTTGACCAGAGTAAATTACCACCAGATAGTAGACTCCCATGCAGATTAGAGTAAACTGATATGAGGTTTATATTAAACTTCAATGTAAGCTTGGTTAAACAGCACAAATCAGTACTGATATGTGCAAAGGCTGTTGTCACTGCTTTTCAGAAGTTAACCCACTACCTATAACCTGAGGTGTTTTTTTATTCCTCAGTGAGCAAGGAAAACTATCAACGGGTAGACTAACTCACTTTGGGCCTCCAGGATCTGATGGAAAAGTTGAAATCTGAGATAGGAAAAGAATGTCTTTACCTAAAGAAACCAATGTCCCTTTATGTGCAGTGAGGAGTCTTCTGTGCGCTCATTGGGGCCCAGCTGGTAAACAATTGGAAGAGATGTAGGGGACACAGTTCCTCGGAATAATACAAGAAAAGCAAGAAAGAACGACAAATTCTTCCCCTTTAAGTGGCACTTGACGTGGGTGGTGCCCCTTTAAGGCACTAGGCAAATAGCAGATTTTAGGGAAGTAAGGTGTCAAAAGCTGGCAGAAGTGCTTGTTGGCAAAGGACAACTCCCGTCTGAGCTGCAAGGACTACTGGCAATGATAGAAGAGGTTCCCTTAAGAGGGTAGGCTGATGATTAAGGGAACACTTTATGTTGTCTGGCCTGCAGGATTTTGAACACACATTTGCAGCACGGTCCTATCATCAGGGCTGACAACAGTGCACAACAGTAACGGCTGATGGAACTAGACGTTAGCTATGTGTAATGTCCACAACTGTGTGCAGGAAAAGTAGCAGATATGAAGAGAAGAGAATGTCAGTGTTCACTTGTTTGGTGTGGTGTATGGGACTCCCTCACCTGATCAGAGGCATCCAGCAGATCCTGGCTGTCTCTCTCTCCTCATCGCTCTCTGCGGCTCCTCCAGTCTCACTTACAGTGTTCCGTTTTGGTCACCATGCTCTGGGTCACCTGCTAGCAGACTGTCTTTCTGAAAACAAGGCAGCAAGGCTAGTGGTCAGCGAATGTTTTTCACCTTTCTTCTCTCTAGCGCTGTGGCCTGGTTCCCGGTTCTCCCAGCAGTCAGAACAAAACTCTCTCTCTTTCCTACTGCTCACCAGCTCTCTCCCCTCTCGCTTCTCCCAGTCCAGTCTTCCGGGCTTCTGTATATACAGTTGCTGTTCAAAATAATAGCAGTCAGACATCACTCAACCGATCAAAATAAAAAAAATTCATTCAACTAGTTTTTGGTAGAAAAATTATATTTCCCTACATGGCAAAATAATTTACTAGCAGGTGTAGTAGAAGAGTAATAGAAATCCCAACAGACCCAACAGTCATGACATGCATGCCTGCTGCAGATTCTGTGTAATTGAATCACTCATTGAAAGGGGCATGTTCAAAATAATAGCAGTGTGGAGTTCTATTAGTGAGGTCATTCATTCTTTGAAAAACAGGTGGCAATTATTGCCCTTATTTAAGGAAGAAGGCAGCAAATGTTGTACAATGCTGGTTACAGTGCATTCTCTTCTCTGAAAATTCTGATGGAAAATGGGTCGTTCCAGACATTGTTGTTCAGAAGAACAGCGTACCTTGATTAAAAGAGTTTGGAATTGGAGAGGGGAAAACATAATAAAGAAGCACAGTAAAATGATAGGTCTGCTCAGCTAAAATGATCGCAAATGCTTTAAAACGGCAACCAAAACCTGAAAGACGTGGAAGGAAGCGAAAAACTACCATTCAAATGGATAGAAGAATAGCCAGCAAAATGGCAAGGACTCAGCCAACAATCAGCTCCAGGAAGATGAAATAAGGTGTAAAGTTCCTGTGAGGAACTGTTACAATTAGATCAAACCCTCTCCCTCCTGCCCCACGCCGACTCTTCTCACCACCTTCAACTCCCTACTCTCTCCCCCCCCCCCCCCCTCCTCCACTCAGTAACATCACTCACCCGCCCACGAATTTTGCCACTCATTTCACAACAAGATTGATGCAATCCGTCAGGACATAGTCAACTCGCAATCTACCTCCCCCACCTAGCCCCCCCCCCCATCTCCCCCTCCATCTCTTCCCTCCTCTGACCCTCGCAACCGCACTGCCCCCTCTACACTTCTACCCAAGACCCCGCTTACCGTAATTCCCCCCCCCCAGCTCTGCACTCCTTCAGCCCCCGCTACCACTGAGGAAGACACCAGGGTCTTCTCATGAAGCCCTGGCTCACTACCTGCCCCTGGACCCTATCCCATATCCCCTCTCGACTCCTCCAGTCACCCCCCCTCTTCCCTCATCTGCTCCCTCACGACCACATCTTCAATCTCTCCCACTCTACTGGCGTATTCCCCCTCCCCCCTAAAGCAATGCGCACACATCACCCCCATACTCAAAAAGCCCTCCCTGGACCCCTCTGACCCAAACAACCTCAGACCCATGGCCACTCCCTGCTGCCACCGTCACTCTTCCAAACTCTCGCCAGGAGCGCTTAGTCTATTACCGACCGCCTAAGCGCCCACCTAACTGACAACAATCCATTCCTTGATCCACTACAGTCCGGCTTCCTTCCGTCCCCTACACTCCACCGAAACCGCCCTCCCTCAAAATCACCACCAACTACCAAGTCAACTCTCGCAAAGCCAAAGGCGACTACATCTTGTCCTCCTCCTCCTGGACCTCTCCGCGGCCTTCGACACAGTTGACCACCCCCTCCTCCTTAATAAACTACTCTCCCTTGGGCATCAGAGACACCGCTCTCTCCTGGTTCTCCTCTTACCTATCCCGACGCTCCTTCAGCGTTTTCCTACAATGGTGCCAACCTCCCCTTCCCTCCCCCTCTCTGTTGGGGTCCCCCAGGGCTCACTGTCCTTGGACCCCTTCTCTTCTCCATCTACAACCTCCTCCCTTGGCAAACTCATACACTCCCACGGCTTCAACTACCACCTCTACGCTGATGACACTCCAAATTTACACTCTCACCACACCCCCCCACCTCACCCCCACATTCTCCGCCCGCATCACTCACCTCCTAAACGACATCTCTGACTGGATGTCGCTCCTATTTCCTCAAGCTTAACCTCTCCAAAAACCGAGGCTTCTCGTCTTCCCTCCCTTGCGCCGCCCCCCCCCCCCCCATCCTATCCATCACTACTAACACATCAACCACCATCAATCCCGCCCCGCAAGCCAAAGTCCTTGGAGTCATTTCTGGACTCTAACCTCTCCTTCCAACCTCATGTCCTCCAATCACTTACAAAATACATGCAGCGCTTCCACACCTGTCCGGAACACATCGCCAAAATACGCAAATACCACCTTCCTTACCCCAGAAACCCCACTAAACTACTCCGTCACACACTCCCTGATTAATCTCACGCCTTGACTACTGCAACTCCCCCTCCTCACCTCGGCCTAACCCCAGTGCAAGGCTCTCCCCGCTTCAGACTCCATGCCCCTGAACTCAGCGCCAGACTCATCCGGAACTACCTCCAACCACCCTCCGCTCCCACCTCTGCCAACCCCCCTCTGCCTATCCCTCCACTGGCTCCCTATCGCCCAACGCATCAAATTCAAACTACTCACTCTGACCTACAAAGGCCATTCACAACACTGCCCCTAACTACCCTCACCAACCTGATTCCCAAGTACCTACCCTTATCCCGTTACCCTTTCGCTCTTCACAGGGACCTCCCTTCTATCTTGCTCCCTGATCTCCTCCTCACACGCACGTCTGCAAGACTTCTCCAGGTCCTCCCCCATCCTCTTGGAAACTCACTACCCTAATTCCATCAGACTGTCACCTTCCCTCCCTCACCTTCAGCGCTCCCTGAAAAACCCACCTCTTCAGGGAAGCCTACCCCACCCTCAACCTAACTGCTGCTCTCCTTCATTCCTCCTACCACTCCATCCCCACAGCCACTTCCTCCTGTACCAACTAACCCCGGA